CAGCACACGCGGCGCGAACGTTGTATCAAGCAAACTCGGTTGGTGATCGATGTTGGCGGTAGCTTCATCGAGAATAATAATTCGGGGATTTCCAATAACGGCGCGGGCGAAACTGATAAGTTGCCGCTGTCCCACGCTGAGGTTCACTCCCCGTTCCGCCAATACTGTGTCGTACCCGTTCTCCAGATTGATGATGAAATCGTGAGCACCAACTGTTCTGGCCGCGTCAATAACCTCCTGCAAGGAGGCATCCTCTTCATTGTAGCGGATGTTTTCTGCCACTGTGCCTGAGAACAGATATGGCTCCTGCAGGACCATGCTCATCTGCCCCGCCAGGGAACTCCGGGTGATGTGCCGGATGTTGTGGCCGTCCACCAGGATCCGCCCCTGTGTAACGTCGGCGAAGCGGGCTATCAGAGTTACCAGTGTGCTCTTCCCTGCGCCAGTCGAACCTACGATGGCAACGTTCTCTCCCGGACGGATATGCAGGTTGACGTCGTGCAGGACGTCTACGCCCGGCACATAATGGAAACTAACGTCTTCGAACTGGATTTCGCCCTGGACTTCCGGCAGGTCAGGAGCGTCCGGATCGTCTTCAACCTCGGGTTTGAGGTCCAGTACCTGGAAGATTCGCACGCCGGCGGCCATAGCGCGCTGCAGCATGCTGTACTGCATCGTCAGGTGTCGTACGGGCTCAAAGAACCGCTGGATGTAGAGGGCGAAGGCCACCAATACGCCCCACTCCAGGGCACCGCCCTTTGCCATTACTCCGCCAGCCAGGACCACTCCGAATCCCATGGCGATGCCGATGAGCATCTCCACGATGGGTTGAAGGGCGCCTGAGAAGCGGCTGGCCTCAAGATTCGCGTTCAAGATGCTCAGAGTTCAACTCGTCAAAGTGGGCCATGTTTGTGTCCTGACGGTTGAGACTCTGTACAACGCGAACACCAGTAATATTCTGGTTGTATTCACCGTTAACCATCGCAATGGCTCGGCGGATACGCATGAACGAATGGCGGGCGAACTTCTGCCAGTAGCCCAGAATAAAGAACAGCGGCGGCACGATGGCCAGACAGATGAGCGCAAGCTGCCAGTCAATGATCAGCATCATCGTCACGATGCCGACCAGGCTCAGGAGGTCGGAAAAACTCTGGACGATGAGTTCAAAGGTCTCTTGCAACTGCAGCACGTCGCTCTGGCTGCGTGACATAATCTGGCCAACGGGCGTGCGATGAAAAAAGGAGGGAGACAGTTCCTGCAGATGGTTGAACATTTTGGTGCGAAGGGAGTAGAGAATGCCCTGCCCCACCCGCGGCATGAATACGAACTGCAGATAGTTACCCACGAAGTGCAGCACCGCCACCAGCAGGGAAGCGGCGCCCACCCAGTGCAGCATTTCCAGATTGCCGTCGGCGATTGCTCCGTCTATTCCCAGCTTTACAAGGTAGGGAATGCAAACGTTGGCCGCGGTATAGAGGGCCACCGCCAGCACTGCCAGGATCGCGTCGTTCTTGTAAGGGGCGATGTAGGTCAAGAGACGCATAACTACGCGGTGGTCGTAAGCCGCACCTACAATAGATTCGTCTCTGATGTTGTCTGCATTGGCGGCGCGGTCTCCTGCTGCGTTCAGGCCGCGCATACCACCCATCATTCCGCCGAAGCCGCCACCTGGGCCGCCCGCTCTCATGCTATGCACGCCCCACGGTGGTTTCGGAGGTCAGGGCAACGTCCAGCATCATCTCCTCCTGAGGGCGAAGTTGAAGTTCCAGTATCTCGTGGTAGATGCCACCGACCGCGTCCAACTGTTCGTGGGAACCCTGTTCGACTATGCGTCCTCGGTCGAGAACGATAATGTGGTCGGCATCTCGCACCGTGCTGAGGCGGTGAGCGATAACAAAGGTGGTGCGACCCTTCATCACGGCCACCATTGCAGCATGGATCAGACGCTCCGTTTCAACGTCCACGCTGGAGGTGGAATCGTCCAGAATCAGAATCGGCGGGTCGATCAGAACGCTTCTGGCTATTGAGAGCCGTTGCCGTTGTCCACCGGACAATGTGGTGCCACGCTCTCCGACCCACGTGTCGTACCCGCCGGGCAAGGAAATGATGTGGTCGTGAAGCTGGGCAACCTTGGCAGCCATGATGACGTCTTCCAATGTGGCGTCGGTGGCGCCGTAGGCGATGTTCTCCCGAATCGTAGCGCTGAATAGGAACACGTCCTGCTGCACTATCCCCACGTTTTGCCGGAGCGATTCCAAGGTTACGTCCCGAATGTCGGTGCCGTCGATTGTGATCCGCCCATCGTCCACCTCGTAGAAGCGGGGGAGCAGGTTTACGATTGTGCTTTTGCCGCTGCCCGGTGCGCCAAGGATGGCGACGACCCGATTGCGCTTCGCTTCGATGTCCACGTTGCGCAAAGCCGGGACGCTCGGGTCGTAGCTGAAAGACACGTTCTCGAAGCGCACCGTTCCCTGGGCCCGTTCCAACTCGATGGCGTTTTCCCGCTCTGACACCGGCGAACTTGAATCCAACACATCGAAGAGGCGGCGGCCCGACGAGATGGCACGAGAGAAACTGTTGATTATGAATCCAGCCATTCGGACGGGAAAGGTTAACTGGTTCAGGAACAACATGAACATGCCCAACTGCCCCGGGGACAGGTCTCCCCGCAGAACCTCCCAACCGCCGTACCAGAGGATCAGGCCCAACGCCACGGTGAAGTAAAAGGACATCCACGCACTATTGGTGCCCTGTGTCCGCTCGGACAAGAAGTATTCGTAGCGCAGCTGACGGGCCTTGCGGTCGTACTTGCGCTTTTCGTATTCCTCAGAGGCAAAGGCCTTGACGACGTGCATGCCGACCAGGTTCTCCTGGAGGACGGTCACCGTTTCCCCCATGGTTATCTGCACCTGCGACCACATCGTTCGAAGGCGGCCCATAACCATCACGGAGCGGGCCACGATAAACGGGGATAAACGCCAGGCTGATGAGTGTCAGCTCCCAGTTGATGAAAACCAGTATGACCAGCAGGGCTACGGCCCTAAGACCCGCCTCAATGGAGCGTACCATCCCGATGTTCACGTAGCGGCGAATGGCCTCAACGTCGGAGGTCGCCTTGGACATCAGATCGCCGGTGTGCTCCCGGTCGTGGTAGGCAAAGCTCATATGCTGCAGCTTGTTGTAGAACTGGTTACGCAGCACATAGCAGACTTTCTGCGACAGGGAGTCCGTGGTGTATGTCCGGGCGAAGTCGAAGAATCCGCGGCAAAGGCTGGCAGCCAACAGGCCAATGGCTAGCCACAACAGCGTGGAATTGAGCGGGTCTTTTCCGCGGAACGACTTTGAATCTAGGTCGTACCAGACCAGTGTGTCGATGGCCTGGCCGAAAAGAAAGGGGATAAATAGTGAGAAACCGACGGCAATAGCAAACGTTACGTACGCCAAGATTAGGCGAGTGCGAAATTGCCAGGCGATTTTGTTTATGCGAATAAGGATGTCCATGTAGGTGGTCCGTTCACGTGTCCTTTTCAGCCGTTCAGTATCCTTATACTCCTTGGGCGCAATTGTCTGTTTAGCATGGCAATTGCCGGCGCAGCTACATTCGTTCGGGAGCGTGCATGCCCATCATCTCGAGGGAGCGGCGGAACACGATCTGGGCTGATTCCACGAGTTTTAGTCGGGCCAGGGTTACGTCCGCGTCCTCAGGGTTAGCGGATATGACCCGGCAATTTTCGTAAAAGCCGTGGAATGCGGTGGCCAGCTCCATCGTGAAGTGGGCCAGGTGGTGCGGCTCCAACGTCTTGGCCATCTGCTGCACCAGTTCCGGCAGCCGAACCATGTGCCGGATCAAGGCCAATTCGCTGGGATGGGTCAAGAGCGTCACATCGCCATAACTCCAGTCGATATTCCGTTCACCTGCGAGGGTCAGAATACCAGCATTACGCGCATGGGCATACTGGACATAATATACCGGGTTTTCCGACGACTCCTGCTTTGCCAGTTCCAGGTCGAACTCCATCTGGGTCGATGGTGTCCGCGACAGGAAGAAGAACCGGCAGGCGTCGCTTCCCACTTCTTCTGCCAGTTCCCGAAGCGTTACGAACTCACCGGTGCGCTTGGAGGCCCGCACCACCTCACTCCCACGCTTGAGGGTGACCATCTGGGCTATAAGAATGGTCAGCCGTTCCGGGTCGATGCCCAGTCCCTCCACCGCCGCCTTCATCCTGGGCACGTGTCCCTGGTGGTCGGCTCCCCAGATGTCGACCACCGAGTCATAACCGCGTCCGATGAACTTGTTGTGGTGATACGCGATGTCGGAGGCGAAGTAAGTTGGCTCTCCAGACGACCGCACCACGACGTTGTCCTTTTCGTCGCCCAGCATGGTCGAGTTGAACCAGAGCGCGTCTTCCCGCTGGGACAGGTATCCCTGCTCTCTCAATTGGTCCAGAGTCTCGTTGTATTCGCCACTAGTGTAGAGCGTGCGCTCGCTGAACCAGTTGTCGAACTCAACGCCGATCCTGCTCAAGTCCTCCCGGATGAGTCCGACCATCCTCTCACGGCTGAGGTCGCCGATTTCCCGTATGGCCTGGTCCTCGTCCTGGCTCAGGAACCGTTCACCCTCTGCGCCGGCGATTTCCATTGCCAAGTCTAAGATGTAGTCCCCCATGTACCCGTTGGAGGGCATCGAGGCGTCCTGGCCGAAGGACTGGCGGTACCTGGCCAGTACGGAGCGATAGAAAGCCTCCATCTGGCTGCCGGCGTCATTGACGTAATACTCTCGAGTAACCTGATAACCTGCGGCCTCCAACACGTTGGCCAGCGCGCTTCCCAGAACGGCGCCCCTGGTGTGGCCTACGTGTACCGGGCCGGTGGGGTTGACGCTGACAAACTCCACCATAACCTTGCGTCCCGCCCCGGTGTCCACGCTTCCAAAGGTGGAGCCAGCCCGGCGCACCTCCTCCACCTGTTCCTGCAGCCAAGTATCCTTGAGGCGGAAGTTGATGAACCCGGGAGGGGCCGCTTCGATCTGACCGATGGAGGTGCTTTCAGGTGTGCGAGCCACCAGCGCCTGCGCCAACTCGAAGGGATTGATCCGGGTTGCACGAGCAAGTCGAAGCGGCAAATTGGTAGCAAAGTCGCCGTGTTCGGGGTTGCCTGGGCGCTCAACTTGGATGTCGGGCATGGTTTCCAAGCGGACCACTCCGTCGTTTTTCGTGCGGTCTCCACTGCTTGGGCAACCAGACGCCGAACGCTCTCGATAACCGTGGTTGTCGACATGACCGAGTGATCCTCGCGTGTCTCGGCGTTTCGCGTCTTTTCGGTCCCCGGCGCTGGGCTCCCACCTGTAGCTACGCGCCGGGCAGCAAAAAGCAATTCTAACACATCGGTCTGTCCTGCAATGGCTCCGTTACCGTTGCTTACATGTAATTTCGTGGTCAACCTTTGCGAGCTTCCTGGGCGAGCTTCCTGGATGGATTTGCCGATGGATCTGCCGCCAGTGGGATCATTCCGCTCCAATTGCTATATTTGCGATCGTCGGATGGTTCAATCGTAATGGGCCAGGGTATAGAGTTTAGTTGCCGGAATTGTCGTCCGGCGGCGAGCAAAGGGTTTACTGAATCTGCGGGTCCGCTGTGAAATACTGGCCCAGTGCAGGGAAACGTGTCTGAACAGCTAATTGAGACTCCATTAGAGCCAGACGGGACAGTAGTTTCCGAATCGATGCAGGTGGAGCAGGGAGATACGAAACCAGGGCAAACTGCCTTCGAACGCGCTCGCCCCCTAGAACAAATGATAGAGGACGACCAATCGGAAGCCGCTTCCGACCTGTTCCTGCAGTTGCATCCCTTTGACCGAGCGGAGGTGATGACCGAGCTACGGGGCGGAATTCGGCGTTACCTTGCTCGCGAGATGGCCCCGGAGACAGTGGCAGGCCTGCTGGAGCACATGGAGCCCCGCGTGGCCGCCAACATGTTGCGGGACTACAGTCCCGAGGAACTGGGCGCTGTGCTGGACATGGCAGAACCAGCCGCAGCCGCGGAAGTGCTTGAGTCGCTTGAGGAGGACAGGAGACAAGGCACCATAGAAGCCATGTCGTCCTCCACCTCTGTTGAGATGTTGCTCCGCTACGAGGACGGCACGGCGGGCCGGCTGATCGACCCCGGAGATTCCCTTCTTTCTTGAGAACACCACCGTTCCCATTGCTTTGGACCGTCTTCGGCTGATGGGTGAAGCTGCCGAGCAGGTGAATTCCCTACCGGTGGTAAATGGCGAAGGGGTCCTGGTAGGAACGATAAAACCCGTACGGCTGGCCCTCGCCCGGCCCAACTCCACGGTGGCCGACATCATGGACCGGGACCTGACCGCCGTGGCTGCGTCGGCCGATGAGGAAGTGGCGGTTCAAATGATCAGCCGGTTCAAGGTCAGTGACCTGCCGGTGGTTGAGGAGGGAGGTCGCCTGGCCGGTTTGATTCGTGCCGAGGATGCCGTCGAAGTGGTGCAGGAGAGCGCGACCGAAGACATGTTCCGCATCGCCAGTATCGGTGAAGAGCGGATCACAGGCCCAATTGCCGAATCGGTGCGCAGCAGGTTTCCATGGCTGGCACTCAATTTAATAACGGTGTTCCTGGCGGCAGCGGTGATCGGCCTCTTCGAGTCCACCATCGCCAGGGTCGTGGTGCTGGCGGCCTTCCTCCCCATCGTCGCTGGACAAGGTGGTATCGGGGGCACGCAAACAGTGACTCTGGTGATTCGCAGCTTGGCAACCGGCGATCTGCCCCGTCAGCTCGGTCTTCGCCTTTTGCGTCGCGAGATAATGCTGGGGTTGATTCACGGACTGGTGCTGGGGGCCATCATCGGGGGTATCGGTTGGGCTTGGCAGGGCAATCCGATTTTGGGAATGGTGCTGGCCCTGGCCATGACCGCCAACATGGTGGTGGCATCCATCGCAGGAGCTGGGGTGCCGTTACTATTGCGACGACTTGGGATGGACCCGGCGGTGTCGGCGGCTGTGTTCGTCACCACCTTTACCGACGTGATAGGCTTTGCCCTGTTCTAGGTCTAGCGGCCGTGTTCATTGAGTTCCTGGTGTGACGTGACTCATTTGGACAGGGCACAGCAGCGCATTCACAGCGAGGTGATTCATGGCTGGCACGATAGCACTGGTTGGCGGCGAAGAGTTCCGGGTCGGGTGCGAGGAGATGGACCGCGAGGTGATGCGGGCTTCGGACAAAGACCATGCCAGCGTGATTATCATCCCCACAGCCGCCGTTACCGGACCGGCCAAGGCGGCCAATGACGGCGTAACGCACTTCGCCGCCCTCGGGGGTGCGGCCAGTCAATTGATGGTGCTGGAAGCGAGCCACGCCAACGACGCCGGGTTCGTTGCACCGGTAATGCATGCTGACGTGGTCTACTTCACAGGTGGCAGCCCCGACCACCTGCTGGCGACTGTCCGAGGCTCGGAGTTGCTGCGGCTGCTGACGGAGGGACTGCAACGCGGTCTGGTGCTGGGTGGGTCATCCGCTGGGGCGATGGTTATGGGTTCTGTGATGCGCCGCCGAGCTCCGGGGGTTGGGTGGATGGCCTCGGGATTGCTCCGAGTATAGGAGTGTTGCCGCACCACGAGCGTCGCGACCCCGCCGAGGTTGTGGCCGAACTGCGCCAGTCTGCCCCGAGGGGCCTGGTGTACCTGGGTATCGATGCCCGCACCGGAGTTCTCGGCGGTCCAGAGAACTGGCGTGTTACAGGATTCGGCAAAGTAACTGTCTACCGCGACGAGGACTACGCGGTGTTCGGCGCGGGCGAGCAACTGCCATCGGGATTCTAGCCGCGACGGTCCCGGAGCTCCTTCCAGACCTGCTCCGGCTTGATGCCTGACGCAGCCATCAGCACCAGGGTGTGATACATCAGGTCGGCTATTTCCGAAGGCAGATTATCCGTGTCACCCTGGGCGGCTGCCAGGGCGGTCTCTCCGGCTTCCTCGATTACCTTCTGGGCGATGCGTCCCACGCCCTCTTGCAGCAGCTTTACTGTGTAGCTGCCCTCCGGCATCTCCCGCTGGCGGTCCTGGACGGTGGCGTACAGCTCACCGAGGATGCCAGGACCTCTGTCAGTGTCCTCGTAACCCTCGGGCAGCCCTTCGAGGGGGTTGAAGAAGCACGAAGTGTTGCCGGTGTGGCAGGTTGGTCCGTCAGGGTCCACCTTCAGGAGGATGGTGTCGCCATCGCAGTCAAGCCAGGCCTCGCGAAGGTTCAGGTAGTTGCCGGACACCTCACCTTTGTGCCACAAGTCCTCTTGGCTCCTGCTGTAGAACCAGACCTGGACTCCTTCGACCGTGCGCTTGATGGAGCCGGGATTCATGTAGCCCAGCATCAATACATTGCCGGTGTTAACATCCTGGGCGATGGCAGGTACCAGGCCCTGCTCGTTCAGCTTGACCTTCATACTGTTGTATCCCCGATAGAAATTTCTGGAGAGTTTTTCGTTCGCCTCGAGGTAGGTTCTTCCGCCATGAGTATGGAAGCAGGACTATCCGCCCCGCAATTCGGCTGCGATGAGCGCCGGCAACTCCTGCAGGCTGGTTACCCTGTGGCTCGGCGGGGGAAGGTCCTCCCGAAGACCCTGGTCGTTTCGATCGACCCAGACAGCGTTAATGCCCAAGCTGGATGCCCCATACACGTCCTCGTAATGCCTGTCCCCAACATAGACCGTCTCCTCAGGTGAAAGTGACAGGCGGCCCAACATTTCATTGAACAGGCTCCGGCTGGGGCTTGTAGCAGCGGGCCATCTCAGAGGATAGGACAGTCTCAAATTCCAGGTCCAGCAACTCGAGGTTGGGGAGGAGAAAACCGTCGTCTGCGTTGGAGAGCACGGCGGTGCGGTATCGGCTCTGCACTTCCCTGAGCGCCTGTTCCGTCTCCGGGAATGGTTGCCGCTGGGATAGGTCGGCGAAGAAGCGTTTGGTCGCGGCCTCGGCATCGCCATGCACTTGCATGGTCTCGAACGCCGCCCGGAATCCGCCGGTCCAAGCATCGGAATAAGTCTGGAACGGCAGGGAAGGGTCTGTGCGCCGCAGGCGGAATTGCTCTTCCGACTCGTGCCAGCCTTGCCAGAGTTCCTCCGCTGTGATGTTCAGACCCTGGTCCTCGACTATAGATTTGAAGCTGCTGCGCCATTGTCCGCCGGGGTCCTGGACCAGGGTCTGGTACATATCGAAGATGACTGCTTTGATTTCAGCCACTGAAAACCCTCAACGAGATATAGTGATTTCTCCAGGTCAGGTGCGAGGACGTACCGGGATCCCGCGCCGACTGAGATAGTCCTTTGCTTCACCAATCGAATACTCACCAAAATGGAAGATACTCGCCGCGAGTACGGCAGTCGGCCTCACCCGATTCGAGGGCGTCATAGAGGTGATCCAGATTGCCGGCACCGCTGGCGATGACCGGGACCGGTGTAGCCTGAGAAACCGCCCTGGTCAATTCCAGGTCGTAGCCTCTTTTTTGACCGTCCTCATCCATGCTGGTCAACAGGATCTCTCCCGAGCCGAGTTCGACAGCCCGCGCTGCCCATTTGACTGCGTCAATGCCGGTGGGGGTGCGGCCGCCGCGGGTGTAAACCTCCCATCGCGAACTGACGTCCAGCGCCAGACCTGGGTCATTCGCAGACGGGCCGTCCGCGCGTGAGTGGGTTGCATCGACCCGCTTGGCATCAATGGCGACGACAATGCACTGGTTCCCGAATTGCGCCGCGCCCTCACTGACCAGGGGCGGGTTGTTGACTGCCGCTGTGTTAAGGGAGACCTTGTCCGCGCCGGCCTTGAGCATCCTGCGGATGTCTTCCACGGTGCGGATTCCGCCGCCAACGGTCAGGGGTATGAAGACTTCCTCGGACACACGGCGCACGACGTTTACCATGGTATCCCGAGAGTCAGAGCTGGCGGTGATGTCCAGGAACACAAGCTCATCGCCACCCTCCTGATCGTACACGGCGGCAAGTTCTGCCGGGTCGCCGGCGTCCCTGAGCTCCACGAAACTGATGCCCTTGACGACGCGGCCTGCGTCCACGTCAAGGCAGGGGATGATGCGCTTGGTCAACACGTCTGTTTCGGCACACTTCCAGTCATGATCTAAGGCGCCAGCAGTATATCACCGCCGCCCCGCAATGGCAGGGCATTCGATTCTCAGGGCAATCGCGTCTTGATTTCAGCATTGAAGCAGGTTGGGGGGAGGAGCTGGCATTGCCGGTTTACAGGGGCTCTTTTTTTATGATTCCACTCATTCCGCCATTATTCTGTCATTCGCATTCCGGTCTGCCGCTGGTTCAAATCAGGCCGGGAGTCAGCGGGTTCTGTTTGCTAGCCGTTATATACATAGAACATATGTGTATAGATGGGGCGCAGGCTTGGCAAGGGGCGAATGACAGCGAAATGAGATTCTCGGCTTGAAGACGAGATTGCCCTGATTCTTCCCATATCCTTAGGGAGAGTGTTGGGGCGAGGGTGGAGTCCAAGGATGACGCATTATTCGCCAACGAACAGAGACGCCCTCATCTCAACCCTCCCGCGTATGGGGAGGGAACATCTAAAAGACTCTGCCCTGCAAGGTGCGGCGGTTGGCGGTGTTCATAAGGGTAGGATAGAATACCGGCGACTCCAAGGATAGCAATTGATACGCCGGTAGGAGATCTGTTATGGCTCTGTCATTGGCCGAGGCCAACCGAATCGTGGAGGGCGCCGTAGCCGCCGCGACCGAGATGGGCATCAAGATAAACGTCGCCGTTTGTGATGCAGGTGGGCGTCTACTTGCCTTCAACCGCATGGACGGTGCGATCTGGGGTGGCGCCTATGGGTCCCAGGGCAAGGCGGTGGCAAGCGCTGCCTTCGGACGCTCCAGCGGGGAGCTGCAGGAGCGGGCGAACACTCCCATTATCGAGGGCATTCTGAAGGCGGAGGGAGAGCACGGCATTCCCAGCCAGGGTGGGCTGCCAATTTTCCGCAACGGTGCACTTGAGGGCGCCTGCGGCGTGGGCGGAGGTAGCAGCCAGCAGGACGAGGACTGTGCGCAGCGGCATGCCACGCTTTAGCCAACACCGAAGAGATGAGCGCGCGCGTGCTGAATGGCA